AGTGTGTAACAAGAAGAAAAGTTGCTTTTTGACATTTCTTAATATTGTTTAGTTGTTCCAGAATTTTCATTATGTTCTTTTTAATTTTCTTTCCCTTTCTGGGATATACTACCCAGGTCCTTTCAGTCTGTCTCTTTCTGTGCATGTTTCTGCATACTTTGATATGGTCTTGCTACTGAACATACCTGCTGTTTGGTAATCAGCAATTTCCGAAGTGTGAAAGGCACAGGCAGATGCCAATTACTTCTCCTTATGCCATGTGTCTACTACTGGCATTATCAATCACAGCTCTTATCAGTGTATGCATCATAGGAAGTTGTACATCATATTCCATTTGAGTGCACTGAAGTAGTGTTATGACTAGTTCAGCAAATAAACAGACCACACCTCAACAAGATCAATTCCAAAAACTCCTGCTCACCAGGCAATCAACTTTGTATTGATTACAACACATAAATATGGTCATCTAAAATGAATCTGCTATGCACAGGGGAGACAAACACTTTGAAACTGGGCATGGCTCACATTGGCAGGGACTCCTTTGCATATTAGGCGACACACCCCTGATGTAGCCAATCCTCTGAGAGTTTACAGTAGCCCCTGTAAGAAGAGCTCTGTAAGCTCTTGGAGGATTGGCTACTTCGGGGGCGTTCCTGCTACAAAAAGAGCCCTTGTCTCTTGACTGCAGAAGGAGTGGTCACATTATGATACTGAGGCCGGAGCAATCCCCTGCTTGCAAGGAAGACAGAATGATATTGCTGAATTGCCTAAAGCATTCATAGGTCACCCCGGGAGACTACAATAGCTGGTTTTGGGAGCCTCGAGTTTGGTTCAGGTTATGGAGGAGAAGACTGAGAAGTAGTGGAGAAACTACAGGATAAGGAGCCAAAGAAAGGAGCACAGCCAGGCCATACTGAGGCTCCATTGGGGCATTCATCCTCCTAAAGAGACTTCAGTGTAACAGAGCTGAGTCATATCACTTACCGGGGTATCTACATGCTTTGCAGGACTCTCTTCAGTGGATGGCTGCGGGAAGAGAGAGACAAGAGAGTGTGTTAATCCTCAGACCAAAGTTTCCTCCCCTTATTTGTTAGTACAAAATTTAATGTTCCCAGGAAATCTTTCACACATCACAGCTTCTCCCCATCAACTGAAGAAAGAGGCTCAAGGGGTCTGGAATCCTTGGAAGTTGGGCCAAATTCCTCATCATGGAAGTTTTAATGGAAAAACAAACTTAATTTATAGACCAGGGGTGCATCATTCAAATCACTGCAGCACTGCTCTTTCCCATACCACTGGGCTAATGTGAGAAGTCCTGACTCATCCCAACAACACCACTATTACTTTTCCTATAAACTGGAACGACACTGGTGTGGACAAGAACTGCAGTGCAGGTATTCCTTCCACCTAGCCCAGGGTTTCTGACACCGCCCTAGTGGCATGATAGATGAAAATAGTTAGGAGAGAGTCATAATCTGCCTACGTAGCCCAAGTTGTGCAGACCTAGTTTAGTAGGGAGAAACAGCCCTGGCAGATCAAAGTTTCCAGTGGTACTGGCTTATTGGATTTGCATGGAAGTAGCACCTAGATCCAATCACTGCCATGCTCAGCTAAAAGGAGCCTATGTTGCAGGGCTGGGAAAGATTTCAGTGTCTCTGGCAGCAGAGCTATTTTTAAAAAATATTTTATTAGTTTTCTACATACGAAAAAGAGAAAGACGTCAGCTACAAACAAAGAGAAACTAACACACAACAAAGATGGAACATGTACTCACTATAACTGTTTAAATGTTACATAGATAGAATAATTATTTTATGCACCTAAACCAATCTAACCATTTAAAGTATAGAGCTTATATTTTAATAGTTATGTTGTACATCTTCTGAGATATTCCTCAATCCATTTTTAAAGTCTTGACCAGTTCTTCTCAAAGACTTCTTCTTTTTTATCTTGCAACTGTAAAGTTAGTTTGTCCATTTTCACTATTTCAAGTATTTTATAGATTATTTCTTCTTTTGATGGAACCCCCCCAGCGCCCCCGGCTTGGAGCCTTTTACTAAGGCTCACCTGGGGGTGTCACTTGAGGTGGCACCCTTCCAGACCACTGGTGCGCAGGTCGCCTCCCCAGCGGTAGAGGAGGGTGACCGCCATCGCCGAGCCACAGACCGGAAGTTTTCGTTATGTCCTATATTTTGTGCCCATCTAATCATTGAAGATTTCACTATTTCACCTTACATTTTCATATCTATTAACAAAGTATAAAATGACTTTATATATTTTTAATCTATATACGACACGGTTTTATCCACTTCTCATAATAAAAACCAGCTTATTTATTCTTTCCATATCTAGAGTCAAGTTGCGCCCTTTCCTACCAGTTATAAATACCCTGTCTTTGGAGAATTTCTTGCGAGCTTATTTTTCTTGTCTAAATGATCTTCATATCTCCATAGTTGATCTTTAGTAAATAAGGTGGGATTTATAAAGGCCTCCAGTGGTAAAACCCATTTAGGTATTTTTGTATAAAACATATTTTTAACCTCTCCCCATATCTTCAACATTGGTGCTCTTAACATGTGTTGTATAAAGCATTTGTGTATACTGTTTTTCCATACCATACAAAGGCGTGCCAACCTAGTTTCAAATCATGACCTTCTAACTTTAACAATCTTGGGTTTTCCAATGTGATCCATTCTTTCATCTATGTCAGGGCTGCTGCATTGTAATAGAGATACCAATCTGGTACTGCGAAGCCTCCTCTTTCCTTTGTATCCTGTAATACTTTCAAATTTATTCTGGGTCTTTTACCTTGCCAAATAAATTGCCATGTCAGTTTATTTATTTCCTTAAAATACTGTTGGTTTTTTAAATTTGGAATTGTTCGAAATAGAAAAAGAAGTCTAGGTAGCACATTCATCTTTACAATAGCCATTCTTCCCATAGAAGATAGTTGTAGATGTTTCCAGTTTTCCAAATCTTTTTAATTACAGTCAAGAGTTTCATGTAATAATCTTTTAACAATGAGCTGCACCTACTGGTTAAAGTTATCCCTAGATATTTTATTTTCTTCCAGACCTCAATACCAGAGCTGTCTTGTAATTGTTGTATCTGTTCTTTAGTGCAGTTTTTTGTTAATATTTTTGTCTCCTTGAAATTAATTCTCAATTTGGTTGACTGTCCATATTCTTTTAGGGAATTCAAAAGTTGAATAATAGATTATTGTGGTTCTTCCAGGATGAATACCAAGTCATCTGCAAATGCTTGTAATTTGTACTTTTCTCCTTGGATTTTAAATCCTTTAATCTGAATGTTTTCTCTTACTATATCATTCAACATTTCAAGAGCAAAATTAAATAATAACAGAGATAATGGGCAACCTTGTCTAGTTCACTTTTGAATTTCAATATTTTGTGAGAAGTCCCCATTTATCATAACTTTAGCATATTGTTTCATGTAAATTGCTCTCACCATTGTATAAAAGTTTTCGCCATAAAGCCAAGTTAATAACTGTTCTAGCATAAAAGACCAACTTGGCAGTGTTCACATGTGCAAGATAATGTGTGTGTGTGGGGTGAGACTATTTGCTCTGCAGGAATTTGACCTGCATTTGTCACACAGTCCCTGGGAGCTGCAGGGGGGGGGGGCGCCACTGCGTGATCAGATGCAACCACGGGGGAGTCGGGGGGGTTGCCCCATATTTCCGGTGTGCTTCAATGAGGGGTCAGTGATTCACAACTCTGCACCAAGTGCTCCCTATGCAGTGTGGGATGATGCACATACCGAAGGGGGGGGAACAATGACATGGAGTCGGGATGGCCCGATCAGACCATCCCGACGCCATGGAAGCGCGCTGGTGCGATCACACTTGGGAAAGTCCATTCCTAGCCTGTAGCAAACCCGTTTGCTACTGGGTTTCCCCCGGTGTCTTTTTACTCCGCTTCTGCAGCGGAGCAAAATGGATTGCCGACAGGAGCGGAATGCTTGGCAGATGTTGGCGTTTGATCGCACCCTTAAAATCTGCCCAGCATTCATGCCTATGGCGCAGCTAATTCTGCGTGTGATCGCGCCCTAGGGTTGTCAAAGGCCTTCTCTGCATCAAGAAATACCAATGCCATTTGTTTTTCTGGATGTACTTCAAAATATTCTAATACATTCAAAATGGTTCTCACATTATTTCTCATCTGTCTTTTGGGTAAAAATCCTGTTTGATCTTGATGCATTGTTTGTCTTCAATCTATAGCCAAAATAGATGCAAATATCTTGTAATCAACATTAAAGAGTGAAATTGGCCTATAATTTCTAATTTCTTTCTCATCTGTATCAGGTTTATGTATTAAAGTAATCAATGCTTGATTGCATGACTCTGGAATTTTCTTCTGTTCAATAATATTCTGTATAGTATGTTTTAATGGTAATGCAATTTCATCTTCAAATGTTTGGTAAAAATCTGCTGGTAATCAATCCGGGTCCGGAGTTTTCTTTTTCTTCTGGTTTTTAATTGCTTCCATTAATTCAGCAAAAGAAATTGATTAATTTAAAATTTTCCTTTGATTCTCTGTAAACTCTTTTGTATTATATTTCTTTAAAAATTCTCTAATCTGATCCTGGTTGGCAATTCCCTTCTGATAAAGGTTTTTCTAAAAGCTCTCAATAATCTTCTTTAATTCCTTAAGGGTACTTTTTTCTTCTCCTATTTCACTCTTCAGGATCTTTATATGTTTCTTCTCTGATTCCTTTCTTATTTTGTATGCTAACCATCTTGTAGGTTTATTTGCATTTTCAAAATAATTTTGTTTTGCATACATAATTTTTTTTGCAATTTCTTCTGTCAAACGGCATTTAAATTGGTGATGGAGATTTTTAATCTTAATCCTTGTTTGCTCTATCGAGGGTTCTGTCTTCAGCTTTTCTTCTTCCTTTTTAATTTGCTCTTCAATCTGCATAATTTGTTTTCTTTGTTGCCTCACCCATGCATCTTGTCTGATGAGCCAGCCTCTTGCAAGGCGTCCCACACTATATCTATAGAGATATCAGGGTGAATATCCACTATAAATCTTGAGTTTTTAAGAGCCATAAATTCATGGCCCATCTGGTTCTTTTTGGGGTTTCTTGTAAGGTTGACTATGATCTGCAAATGTTGATGGAAGCAGCAGAGCTATTGTTAGTCAGAGGAGGCAGAATTGAGTTGGATGAACCTGAATGAGCCTGACTGTCTGTAAAAAGTAGTTTCATGTGTTCAAGTGCCTTCTATGGCTTGTGGTTTCTATTACCCTGAAAAAGCTTGACCTAAGGTAACTCAAAAGTAATATAGGTATTGTCCCCACCTACATCACTAGTCTGTGACATGGAATCATGTTCATAGTTGCTTGCCATTCACATGGGACAAACTGGGAATAAAAAACAGTTCTGGAAAAGCCTCCTCCTGGGCAAATTCCTGATGTCAATTCCCAAAGATGGGTTGGAGGAAGGAGCAACCTGCCTACTCAGTCAGCTTGGTGCCTCTTTCCATGTGAAGTGGGGGACCGGGCACTACCTCTCTAACCCATATGGGCTGAGGTGGGTTGGTCACGACCCTTCTTCCACTAGGCTGAACCAGCTCATATGAAGGGGGAAGGCATTGGTCCACCAGGAGAAGTCCCAGTGACCATTATGGCCAATCTACTCCTGCTCTCACAGCTCATAGCAAGACTTATAGAAACAGCATTTTGCCATTCTTGCACCATGCATACAGCTGAGCAGCAACATAAATTACTTTCATCATAGCCACCGCAATTGCAATTTTTACAAAAAAGGACCTCAAGCAAAACCCACATTTTTATGTATCCAAAATTTGGGATTGAAGGTTGGCATGGGGCAGAATGTAACACAAAAAAATAGGAGTGGTCACAGAAGCCAGTTCCTTGAATCACAATGTTTGGCCAAACAATCATAAATATTCTCAGGGTTGAGGGGGCCGGCGCTGCGAGAACAGTCAACACCGGGAAGCTCTCCCGTGTGCTGGCTGGATTGACAGTTTTTTAGAGTTC